AAAAAAAAAAAAAAAAAAGACTTCTGAGCAGTAAGTTGAAATCACATGTTCAATTATTTTATGTCTTTGTTATACTCATTCATGGTCCTTTTGTTTAGAAATTATAGCCACCATATATAAATACAGAGAAAGAAGCTGTCTCACAAGTCAAGGAAATTCATCTCTTTTGCCAATTTTCTTCACTAAATGAAATGAACTATGAGAAACCAGGACCTGTCTGCTAAATGTAAGAAGAGAGACTGGTAGAAGCAGGAGCGCCTGGTACTTCCCCCAAAAATGGACACAAAATTTACAGGATAATAAAAGTTACTCAGGAAAAGAATTCCTTTGGGGCTGGAGAGATGGCTCAGTGTTTAAGAGCACAGGCTGCAGCCAGGAGTATTGGCGCAGGCCTTTAATCGCAGCACCGGGGAGGCAGAGGCAGGCAGATCTCTGAGTTCGAGGTCAGCATGGTCTACATAGGAAGTTCCAGGACAGCTGGGACTACAGGGAGACCCTGTCTCAAAAAGTCCAAAAATAAATAAATATAAATTAAAAAATAATAAAACAAATAAATAAAGAAATAAACAAATAAATAAATAAGCACTGGCTGCTCTCACAGAGGATCCAGGTTTGGTTCTCAGCACTCACATGGCAGCTAATAAACCAGTTCCAGAGGGAATCTGATGCCCTCTTCTGGCCTCCACGGGCATTGCATGCATGTGGTACACTTACAAACATGCAGGCAAAATATCCATACACAAAAAATAAAAATTAATTTAGAAGTAAATAAATAGCCAGGTGTGGTGGTGTGCACCTTTAATCTGAGTCCTTGGGAGGCATAGGCAGGTGGATCTCTGCAAGATCAAGGCCACCCTGGTTCATATCGTGACTTCCAGGTGGGCTGTGATTAGGGAGACCCTGTCAAAAAAAACCAAAAAACAACCAACAATGGGCCTCTCTCCCATTGGGCTGTGGGACCCTTTCCTCCTCAGCCAGGGCTAGAGGCCAAGATCAGCCCTTGAGGATCATTGTCAGGACTGCCATGAGTGGGCACCCTTGTTTTACTGCCTCAGACAGCTGAAAAAAAAGAAAAAACTTTAGTTTACAATGGTGATTTAAAAATTATTTGTGGCCCAGGAACATAGTCTTCATATCCTGGAACTCTCAAAAAAAAAAAAAAAAAAAAAAGAAGTAAATAAATAAAAATAAAAAAAGAATTCCTCCTTCAGAGCAGACGCTTCTCCCAAACTGTCCCAAAATAGTAGACTGGATGTTGAACCTCTCTGGACAAGGCTCCAAACAAAGGTGTTTGTTTTCCATCTTCATTTCATTTTCCCTTAAGAGTCCATTTGTAGTTTTACTTTTGAGGACTCAGTCTTTCATTTCACATGCAAACTGAAACAGTCTGCAAAGCATTTTACCTATACAAGAGGAAGACATTCTAGCTGGCTGGCAGAGGATCATAATACCCACATAAAGACTTCACCGCACCTCCTTTCTCTGTGTGACCATAACATGACAAAACTGAAGGTAAAATGCAATCAAGGACTAGAAACACCATCTAGAGACACCATCTAATTTTCTAACCATTGAGAAAGTTCACCTTCAAAAAACAGAGATCCTAAACTCAGGTGGGTATAGAATCTTGTTGCCATTTTGATGTAAACAGCAACTGCCTCACTCCCAGGAAATAAAATTGAGAGCAGAAATGACACCAAATAATCCAAATAAAATACCACATTAACAAACAAACAACAACAAAAAACAAGGTAATATTTTAACTCTGATGATTCCATTTTCAAGGTTCTAAGTGGAAAAAAGGAGAAGAGAGGGTCCAGGAGAAAGAGATGAAGAGAAAGGAAAACAGTACAACATGGCTCTTCCAAGCATCTTCTCAAGTTCCAGGAGGCCTCTTCTGCATTCTCTGACTCACATCAGGAGCACTCCACACATTAACTGTGGGTTAGACTGTACTGATATTACATAATATTAAATTCTTAACATTACACTTTCTCTCAAAATATATTGGTTCCTAAAATTGGAAATCAAGAAGAGACCTATATATATGAAAAATGGGATCCTCTAATTTCCCTGTCATTTTTGGTTCAAATAATTTCCAAAAAAAGAATAGTTACTATAGATTTCCCAAGAACTAGTAGACTCTTAATCTATGCTAATAAAACACCCCTTTTTTTAGTTCAAAGCTCATGCTCTTGCTAGAATTACATTTTTCAAAACTTACTTGCAAGGACTTTCACAGCAACCTACAACCAACACTCAGAACAAAGATAAGCAAAGCAGGGGCACCGGCTGCAGGCATCTGTGGTGCCTCAGAAGTGGAGGACATAACAGAAAAGAAGGGAGGCTTACTAGTCCTGTTCGGCTGGGCTTGCTGCTCACAGAGGAGGCCACAGAGCTCATGGAGCTGAGAGAAGAGGCTGATGGGCTGCGCTTCAGGCTGACAGGCGTTGTGGCCATAACTCGTCTCACTGCGGCAGCTTTGGCTTTGGCTGGTGTAGTGGAAGGGAAGCCAATCTTGGTCACTTTGTGGACGGGAGCAAACAAGCCATATTTGGGCTGACATTGAAAATACCTTTAGAAAACAGTAAGAGGAGTAACAAACAACTTAATTACAAAACAACAATTATCTGAAATACTCTCCCAACTCAAAACATGTGACTGAAGTTCTATGCAAAGAGCATAAGTATTTCTATGATGTGATTAATGTACACTGGAAGTTTAGTGATATGGTGACCCCTACTTAAAACAGAAGACAAAAATCAAACAAGCCTCTGATTCTGGCAGATCCACCCAAGTAAGCTATAAATGTAAGTTATCAGAGAACACTAGAGAGCATGACAATTACAATGTTTCATTAACAAGAAGAGACAGCTTTGGAGGTGAGGATGTGGCTCAATAGTAAAAGCACTTGCCTTCACATGTGAGACCTTGTGTTCAATCCTCAGCACTAATAATAATAATAATAATAACAACAACAACAACAACAACAGAGAAAAGATGAGGTGGCTTCACAGTTATTGTTGTACTAGGAGATTTTTGTCCATGAATCATCATGTTTGGTCCGTACTTTGGATGTTTTATAGGTGAAATGTTAACTATAACACCTCATGATCAAGAGCTGTATCAATATATTGTATACCAATAATAATAATGTATCATCTCCCACACCCATGCCTGAGGTTGTCAAAATACTTGAAAAGGAAACATTCTAAAACAGACATGGCTGCACACATTTATAATCCCAGCACTTGGGAGATGAATGCAGGAGGATGCAGAGTTTGGGGCAGCTTTGGTTATATACTGAGTTTGAGGTCAGCCTGAGCTACATGAAACCAAAAAGAACTGTGGGGAAATTGCCTTGCATTACTCTGTACTATCTGACTTCCAGCCAGCACTAGGAGGGAAAAGCAGGGATGCCCTTACAACAGAGAGGGCTACTTGCCACAGGCTGCAATTCTTCTCAGACATGAAGACAGATAACACTTCTTTTCCTGACAAAGGCAGTTACCTTCTCTTTGCTTCAACTCTGCCTCTAATGCCCAGGAACTTGCAGAGTTCCAGTGCTATACAAGAGGAAGAAAGGGGGACTGGAGAGATGGCTCAGCAGTTAAGAGCACTGACTGCTCTTGCAGAGGACCCAGGTTCAATTCCCAGTACCCACATGACAGCTACGAACCATCCTTAACTCTTGCAGGCCTATACACTCATACACATAAAATAAAAATAATAAATAAAAATTTTTTAAAAAAAAAAAGAGGAAGAAAGGAGGACAACATCCTTTCTGTCTTTCCTGGGTATGTGGTACACACCAGTAATCTAGCCTTTGAAAAGCTATGGCAGGAGGATCACTACATGTTCAAGGCCAGAGTGAAACTATGTTTCCAAAATATAGATAGATAGATGACAGATAGATAGATGATAGACAGATACATACATACATACATACATACATACATACATACATACATACATACATAGACAGACAGATAGACAGACAGACAGACAGACAGACAGATAAACCAGGTCTGAGGAGATGGCTCAACCTGTGAAGTTCTTACTATAAAGCATGAGAACTTGAGTTTGATCCTCAGAACCTACATAAAAATTCCAGGCATGGTGATGCTTGCTTGTAATCCCAGCGCTAAAGAGGAGAAGAGGAAAATTCATGGGCTCGGAGGCCAGCTAGTTTAACCTAATCAGTGAACTTCAGGCCAATGAGAGATCCTGTCTCAAAGGCTGACCTCTGATGCATGCGCGCACACACACACACACACACACACACACACACACACACATGCACATCTGCACACACATATGCATCTAATCCCAGCACTCAGGAGGCAAAGGCAGGCGGATCTTTGTGAGTTCAAGGCCAGCCTGGTCTACATAGTGAGTTCCAGAACAGCTGGGGCTACAGGGAGACCCTGTCTCAAAAAGACCAAAAAAAAAAAAAACCCACAAAACTTCAATCATCATAGAGGAGAAGAATCAGTAGCTAGGTTTCAGGAAATAAAATTGTAGTTTCTAGCCAGGCATGGAAGGCTGAGTAGAGCAAGATTACCACAAGTTCAAGGTCAGCCTGTGCTAGAGTGAGACATACTTGGTAAATTATACTCAAGCACATTTTTATACAAAAGGGAGATGTGATGTCACACAATTTCAAGCCAACCTTGTTCCAGCAACGGCACCATCATTCTTCCCCAGAGGTTCGTCTAATTCCACACCACACCATTCCCCCTTGGCAAAGTCAGTCTCTCCAAGAAACCGGACTACACCAGCTTTAGAACCACCAACCTAGAAGAAAAGGTGAAAATGAAGATGAGCCCAATTCAATAGCATATTCCTCTGTGTCCCAATGAATGATTAGAATCATCTCATCAGCAGCTTCTTTGCTTTGTCTTCTCAGCTCTTGTAGCTCTCTTGAAGCCAGCCTGGCAACATTACCTGAGTATTGCCAGAGTAATGTGATACTTGGTATATATAGTCCGATATTGAAACAGCCTATAAAGTATGTAGTCATTAAGACTATATACCAAATTATTCCCTTCCTTAGAAAAGTATTTGATCATGAGCTGCCAAGGTGATTCACCAAGGTAAAGGTACTTGCTGCTCCAGGATACATGCCTAAGGACTTGAGTTCAAATCCCTAGAATCCGCATAAAGGAAGAAGAGAAGAGATACCACAAAGTTGTCCTTTGACCTCCACCCATGTGTTGGGGCATGTGCACCCACAAACACATCATACGCACACAACAATAATGATAAATAAAAAATTTAGAAAACTACTTGATCACTCCATAGCAACTTTTCTAATTGGAAACTGTTTTTAAAATTCAAAGGAGGTGGCCCATGCCTTTGATCCCAGCTTTCGGGAGGCAAAGCCAGGTGGATCTCTGTGAGTTCAATGTCAACCTGGTCTACAAAGTCGGGTGCCACCATGCCCAGCCAGTTAGTATTTATGAAATTTCTAAATCTCAACTTTCTCATTAGCAAACTTGGGGTAATTATAGGACTGCTCATGAGGAGTAAATGAGATAATCCACATAAATTGTGCAACACAGAGTCTGACGTGAAGTTGAAGAATTCTGATAGACAGGCCAAGCATGGTGGCGCATGCCTTTAATCCCAGCACTGGGAGGCAGACGAAGGCAGATCTCTGTGAGTTCAGATTTGGTTCCCAGCACCCACATGGTGGATCACAATTGCCTGGAACTCTAGCTTCAAGGGATCTGACGCCTCCAGTCTCCACAGGCACCTGTTCTCATACGCATACTACATACACATAATTAAAAATAATAAATCTTAAGCCAGGCATGATGGTGCATGCTGTAGTCCCAGCACTTGGGAGGCAGAGGCAAGCAGATCTCTGTGAGTTCAAGGTCAGCTTGGTCTACATAGTGAGTTCCAGGGCAGCTGGGGCTACAGGGAGACCCTGCTTCAAAAAGACAAAAAACAAAATCTTGGTCTCAGTCTTAGTGCCATCTTCCTTGACACCCCTGCGTCATGAGAGTGAGGTGGAGAAAGAAATGATCAAGCTGAAGTGCAAGAGAAAAAAGATGAGGCAGAGGTCCAAGTAAACGAGGTTGTGCACCCATGGAGGCTACAGGAGCAGGACAGACAGACAGCAGCCAGGACTCTGAGGCACACTATCTGACTACATGCTACTGGCAATGGATCTGTGCTACATCTCAATGGATCTGGAACTTCATGTGATTGCCAAGACCACCTGAGAGATGACCCTGCTTACAATCTAAACAGTCTCTGTTGGCCCTTTGCCCTGGACCTGTGGCATTCTGAACTAGTTTTGTTCTCACTTGTGACTGAGTGTAACCATGTACAATATATCATCTCTTTTGCTGTCTCAGCTGAAGAAGCAATAATAATAATAATAATAGTAATAGATCTTAGCCAGGCATGGTGGCACAGTCCTTTAATCCTAGCAGTTGGAAGGCAGAGGCAGGCAGATCTCTGTGAGATTGAAGCCAGCCTGGTCTACATAGAGTTCTAGGCCAGCTGGGACTACAGGGAGACCATGTCTCAAAAAAAGAAAAAATAATAATAATAATAATAAATCTTTTTAAAGTATGAACTATAAGCTGAGCACATTTGTGTCTTTTTTTTTTTTTTGTATTTTAAAAAATATTTTACCTGGGCATGGTGGTGCACGCCTTTAATCCCAGCACTCAGGAGGCAGAGGCAGGTGAATCTCTGTGAGTTGAGTTCAAGGTGAGCCTGGTCTACATAGCAAGTTCCAGGCCAGCTGGGGCTACAGGGAGACCCTGTCCCATGGAGGTCAGAACTGGAGTTACAGATGGTTGTTAGTTGTCATGTGGGTGTTGAGAATTGAGCCCAAGTCCTCTGGAAGAATAGCCAGTGCTCTTAACCACTGAGCCATCTCCCAGCCCCAAATTTAAAAAATTTTAAGACAAGTTCTTAGTAGGCTGGGTTGGCCTCAAACTTGATATATAGGTAAGGATAACCTGGACATCTGATTGTCCTGCCTGTACCCTCCAAATACTGGGGTCACAGGTCTGCGCCAGCACATGGACTGCATGTGACATTCTAGTACTCCCAGCATTCATGGATCTCTGACTCTAGGTTAAGCTGACTTCAGCTTTCTCCTTCCAGGTGTTGCTACGCCATGCCATTTGGAACAGCAGTTTAACCCAAATCATGAACAGAATGAAGCACATTAATTAGAAATCATGTAACCGCTACAGATAATTTGCTGACTTCTTTGGGAGTGAGTCAAAATTACTATCAAGTGTCAGCGAGATGGCTCAGTGGGTAAACTCACTTGCCACCAAGCCTAAGAACCTGAGTTCAATCCCTGGAACACTCATTGTATAAGGAAAGAACCCACTCCAGCAAGTTGTCTTTTATCCTCTACTCATGCTGTAGCACGTATACAGGCACAACAGACAAATGTCATTAAAAATAAAACATTTTGCTGGGCATGGTGGTACATGTCTGTAGTCCCAGTACTTGGGAGGCAGAGGCAGGCGGATCTGGTCTACATAGTGAGTTCCAGGACAGCTAGGGCTACAGGGAGACCCTGTCTCAAAAAAACAAAAATAAATAAATAAATAAATAAATAAAACATTTTAAAAGCTACAATTGTTTTTTTCCAAGAGTCATCTAACACACTGAGGTCTTTAATTCTCCAAGCAAACCAACCATGGGTACCACTCAGATCAGTTTTGTAAGAAAATATCCACAAACAACAGATTGGCAACTATTGCTCTAAATGCAGGTAAAGCACATTTATTCTGGAAAGGAATGTAACTAGTAGGGTAGGATGTTACACAGATCTAATCCCAGCATTTGGAAGGCTGATGCAGGAAAATAAAACAAAGGAATATATTTTGCTGCAAAGGTTATTTAAACTGATAATTACTAATTTCTAGAATGACAGGTTTTCTTAGACTTTTTCTCCCCACATACTTGAACTCTTTTTTTCCTTTCTTCCTTCCTTTCTTTTTCTTGATAACAGTTTCAGTATAGCCCAGGCTGTCCTTGAATGCAGTAAACAGCCAAGGCTGGCCTCACATTCAATCCTTATACCCTAGCCTACCAGGTGCTAAAAATACAGGCATGTACACCATACTTAGCTGTAAAAAAATTTTTTATTACTTTTATTTTAAGTGCATGAATTTATTTCCTTCATATGTGTAAGTGCACCAGTGTTGTCAATGCCCACAGAGGTCGGAAGAGGGGTGTCAGATCCTCTGGAACTGGTTACAGACAGTTATCAGCTGCCATGTGGATGCTGAGAATTGAACCCGGGTCCTCTGCAAGAACAGCCAATGCTTTTAACCACTGGGCCATCTCTCCAGCACACACACTTGGATTTAAACTGCTGACTTAATAGAAATCAAAATACACCAAAGCTTTCATTTACATAAAAATGTTTTCAATTAGTTGTGTCTGGTTGCTCTCACCTATAATACTAAGTACTTGATAGGTAGAGGTAGGAGGGTAAGGAGTTCAAATTCATCCTCAGCCACACAGCAAGTTTGAGGACAACCTGAATTACATGGGACTCCATCTCAAAAGATTTTTAAATCATCATTATGTGGTGCTGGGGATTGAATCTCAGGGTTTGAAATATGCTAGGCAAGTGCCCTTTCCCTGAACTATAGGCCCAGCACCCAAATTTCTATTTTTTTTTTTCTCTTTGAGACAGGGTCTCCCTATAGCCCCAGCTAGCTTGAAACTCACTATATATTCCAGGCTGGCCTCAAACTCACAGAGATCCACTTGCCTCTGCCTCCCAAGTGCTGGGATTAAAGGCATGTGAGCCACCACACCCGGCCAAATTTTAATTTTAAACAATGAGTTTGAATTCATCTGACAAAAACTTAAAGCTAAGTAGGGAAGCCAGGTATGGTGGCACATGCCTGTAATCCTAGTACTAGGGAGGTGAAGGCAGAAAAACCAAGATTTCAGGCCAGCCTCAGCTACCACAGAAAGTTTAGGCCAGCCTAGACTACAAGACACTTTGCCTGAAAAACAAAGAAAACAAATGAAAAATAATAACTACAAAAAAAAATCAAAGTTGGGTAAATTGGTAAACTATGCTATGGCCAAAATATGGTACATGCTCAGAAATATTAATAAAAACAATTAAGCATGATGATGTCACATAAAAACAACTACATGTCACATGATCCTGTTTACAGAAACTTCCAGAAAAGATAGACTGCAAACACAGCAGAAGATCAAGGATTGCCTAGAGTTGCAGGCAGATGTGAAAAATAACTGCAGACCAGTATATGTGCTCTTTGGAGTGATGGGAAGACCATAAAACTAAGTTGTGGTAATGACTGCACAGCTCCATGTTAGTATGTGTGGAATACACACACATTTATGCAAAATATGCTTTGCCCAAACTGTTAAAAAATGTGAGCCAGAGGTTGGAGAGAGGGTTCAACAGTCAGAAGCACAGGCTGCTCTTGCAGAGGACCCAGGTTCATATCCCAGCACCCATATCAGGCAGGTCACAATTGCCTGTAACTCCAGTTCTAGGGAACCTGACAGCCTCTTCTGACCTCTGTGGGCACTGCATGTACAAGTGCACTTATATACATGTAGGCAAAATACTCTTACTGTACAAAATAAAAATAAATACATCAGGGGCTGAAGAAAAATATATATGAATTTTTATTTATTTTTGTCTTTTGAGACAGGGTCTCTGCCAGCTGGCCTGGAACTCACTATGTAGACCAGGCTAACCTCACAGAGATCAGCCTGCCTCTGCCTCCCAAGTGCTGGGATTAAAGGCATGCACCACCATGCCCAGCTTACATGAATGTTTTTTAAAAAAGAAGTTAGCAAAGAGCATACAGTCTAGGCTTTGGAGACAACCACATTGAAACTACAGCTGGAAATCCATCAAGTTTCTCAAGAACCTGACATCACATCCATGAAATGCCGACTGTACTGAAAATGCATCAAGACTATCTCACAATCTATGTAGAGTAACTACTTACCCTTGAAATTTCCAGTATGCAAAAAATCTCTCTCTGAGAGTCAAACAAACAAACAAACAACAAACCCAAAAGAAACTCATCACAAAGGGAAAACTAAAGCAACCTCCAACTGCCAGTATCTGTGGAATATTCATAAAGACAAATTGAAAATCAGAAGCCAGAGGATGGAGATGGGTTTATGCTAAGCCACTCTGACTAACCTTGTTTGAGTATCCAAACATTGTCAAAATCAGCACACTCATTTTATAGATAATTCTTATTTATTATTATTCTTTTTATATGTATGAGTGTATTGTCTGCATGTATGTGAGTGCACCCGTGTCGTGCAATGCCTCTGGAGGTCAGAAGAGGCTGTCAGATGTCCTGTGACTGGAGTTGGATAGTTGTTAGCTGCCATGTGCATGCTGGGATTTGAACCCACGTCTTCTACAAGAACAACCAGTGTTTTTAACTGCTGAGTCATCTCTCCAGTTATAGATAACTCTTTAAGCTAAGTAACACCTAAAACTTTTCCAGGAAAATATTCTCCAGTGATTCCAGTCTTCTAACTGATGCCCCTAAACCAAGGCTGTGACAAAACAACAAGGCAGAGCTCCTCCAAGGCCCAACTGCCGTTCTGCACAGCCTTGTCTTCGGGGCTAGGTGCATTATACGGAGGTCACTTGGCTGCAAAGCAAATCTAACCAAAAATCCTTTTTCCTGTTCATCCTTCAGTGAAAAGAGGAACAAAAGTTACACAGGGGCTGAGGGATGTGGTGAAGCCAAACTGCTGTTCTGTAGGACAACATAGCAGGAATCTTGAGGACACTATGAGGGGTACTGGGGAAATTCCAGATCAAACCACACCTAACAATGACCAAATAACTTTAGTTTTACTAGAATTTGACACTGATTTTTTAATTTTAACTTTATTTTTGGTGCCAGGGATTGACCCCAGGGCCATATACTTGCTAAGTGCAGGTTTTACCACTAAACCAGAACCCCAATTTGTGTGTGTGTGTGTGTGTGTGTGTGTGTGTGTGCGCGCGCGCATGCTATGTATATGTGGGTGCATACATATGGAGACCAGAGGTTGTGTTCCTTAGAAGCCATCTACCTTGTTTGCAGGTTTTGTGGTGGTAGTTTTTGCTTTGGCAATACTGGAGCACTTTTTTGATGCTTTGCTTGTTAGCCTTAGCCTTTAAAGGCTGGGCCATCTCTCCAGCCCATCACCTTGTTTTTACGAGACAAGGTCTCTCACTGGGACCTGGAGCTCACTGATTAGGCTAGACTGGCTGGCAAGCAGGCCAGGATCCACCTGTCTACACCTACCCAGCCCTAGGATTATAAACACATTGGAGGCTGGAGAGATGGCTCAGCAGTAAAGAGCAATGGCTTCACTTGCAGAGGACCTGGGTTCGATTCTCAGCAACCACATCTAACAACCATCTGTAACTCTAGTTACAGGGGATCCAAAGCCCTTTTCTGACATCTAATAATACCGCACAACATGGGTGCGCTTACATACATGCAGGAAATATACTCACACACATAAAATAAAAATAAAATATTTTTAACAGAAAGTGGCATGTTAGCAAGGTATGGTGACAAATGTTCTGGGGAGGCCAAGGATTGTTGTGAGTTCAAATCTAGCCTGAGCTACAAAGAAAGATCCTGCCTTTAAAGAGGAAAAAAAAAAAAGCAAATAGCGTATTAAAATGGAAAAAGCAAATGAACAAGAGAACAAGTAATGTTTGTGCACATCTGACTTACCAGCACTCTATCTCCAATTTTGAGTTCCCGTTCTCCTTTCTTGATTGAGCCAGCCTCTGAAAGGTTGGAAATTGATTCACTGGCAGTTTTCGTAAGGTTGCTGATTTGAGATGTGGTTGAAGTCTCCTTTGCTATCGACTGGGATGATTTAGGGGGAATATTTGAAAGGGTGGCCAGAGAAGATGATACCATGCTGGCTGCAGTAGTGGACAGAGGTGAAGCAGATCTTGCATGAGCTGTCTGTAGGCCATTGGCTTCGTCTTCTGCTTGTACTTTCCTTGTTAACTTTGAAGGTCGGGTAAATATGCCTTTTAACGGTTCACACTGGAAATATCGAACTCCTGCCACTGAACCATCATTCTTTCCTATGGGTTCATCTAAAACAATCCCAGCCCACTGCCCTGGTGCAAACTGAGTTTCTCCAAGAAACTGGATAAATCCAGGTTTATTCCCATTCACCCAAACACGCTCTCCAACTCGAAAGTCATCCACAAATTCCTCTTGAGTCTCGGAGGATGGAGTGCCTGAGGTTTTTTCACTGGATATTGTCTTCTCTACTGGAGCTGCAACTGAAAACAAAAAGGATCAGAAAATATCCAATTTGATATTCAAGCAGTCGTCATTTAACTTAAAGAAAAATAGAGAAAATCAACAGACTATGACTTGTATGACCAGGTTGTTTTATTTGCAAGCAAGGAGAAAAAAAGAAATGTCAAAACTCTGTGAGCTAGGGAGTAAGGTTTATTCCACATTTACAATTAAGACTAGAAATCATCAAGGCAAAAAAAAAAAAATTAGTCCTTTCCCAGCCCTATATTTATAGGTTTGACTTCATTCCTTCTCCACACCCACCCCAATCCTGTACATTGTGAGCAAACCCATTCAGTTCCACTAAGGTTGGTTTATTCCTATATTTGAGTAGTCAAACTAATAGAACTCATACCATTTAGCCACAGAGACAGGTGATTGTGCTTGATGAATGGAAGGCTTCAGTTCAAAGGCCCCAGCCATCTTAATTACAATACCACTACATAAAACCTATTTCTGTAATATCAGAGGTAGAAATCACAGCCAAGATGAAAAAATAGCTCCAGCCCAAATGCTCTGGAAAGGCAACACAATTCTATGCAATCACTATCCTATCATAAAGATAGTAATTTGCCAGAAATGTATATTTATACTGAAAACTTATCCATGCAGTCATCCAGAAAAAATTTACGATTTAGTATAATAACAAAGTGTACATTCCTAATCTAACATTTATGAGGCATATCATGATCTCAGGATGTGAGTTTAATTTCTTCATCTATAAGGAGAAAGTAGCAACTCTCTTGGGGACTTTTGAAATGAGGAGTAAATGTAATCATGTATTTACTCATTCACTACATGTTCTACTAGCTCCTATATCTCTAGGCCTAGTCCCTGGTATTATCTTATGCCAGGGAGCAAAGCAAGACAGCACAGTCTGTGCCCTCACAGAGGTCAGAGACAAGAACTTGGAAGACAGATCAGAAAGTAACACACAAAGTGATTGCAGGTGGTCTGAGTGCTGTGGAGAAGACAGTACATGCAAATCAACAAGAAAGTATATGCAAAGTTGGGACTGTTTATAAATTCCAAACCTAAGGAATTTTATTACAGCAACCTGAATGGATCAAGTTAGTTCATCTATAAATGTCTAGAAAAAGGGTCCCTCATTGACTCTGAGTCACCGACAGGTCAGAGTCCGAAAATCTTTTAGACAAGTGTTTATTTTTCTTGAACTCCATGGAGTAAAGTGTGAGGAATGAAAAAGACCATGAGGGTTAAATCAAAAGAAATACCTTAACATTATAGGAATCAAGTGACTCGAGTGACTTAACTTGACAACTTTCTTTTTAAAATAGTTTATTATTTTAATTTTATGTGTATGAGTGTATTACCTGCATGTATGTGAGTGCACCCATGTCGCACAATGCCAAGGAGGCCAGAAGAGGGCTTCAGATTCCCCTGGAACTGGAGTTAAGGATGGTTCATAGCGGCCATGTGGGTGCTGGGAATCAAACCGGGGTCCTCTGCAAGAGCAGTCAGTGCTCTTAACCGCTGAGCCATCTCTCCAGCCCCAACTTGACAACTTTCTTACAACTCACACTAAATCAATGATAACTATGAGCCAGGCATGGTGGCATGTGCCTTTAATCTCAGCACTCAGGAGGCAGAGGCAGACAGATCTTTGTGTAGGCCAGCCTGGTCTACATAGCAAGTTCCAGGCCAGGTGGGGCTACAGGGAAACCCTGTCTCAAAAAAAAAAGAAAAGGTAACATGGTCGGGTATGGTGGCTCATGCCTTTAGTCCCAGGGCTTGGGAGGCAGAGGCAGATGGATCTCTGTGAGTTCAAGGCCTCAAGGCCAGCCTGGTCTACATAGCAAGTTCCAGACCATCTAGGGCTACAGGGATACCCTGTCTCAAAAAGACCCCCCAAAAAAAAAACAAAAACAAAACAAAATAATAACTATGCTGGGCATGGTGGAGCACACTTTTAATCCCAGTACTTGGGAGGCAGAAGCCAGCCTGGTCTACAAGGTAAGTTCCAGGCCAGCTGTGACTACAGGGAGACTCTGTCTCAAAATATGAGAATATATATATCAAGAATTCCATGGGCTGGAAAGATGGCTCAGAGCACTGGCTGTTCCTGCAAAAGAGCCAGGTTCAAATCCCAGCACTAACATGGCAGCTAACAACTGTCTATAACTCCAGTTCCAGGAAATCCAACATTCTTTTCTGGCCTCCGCTTACACAACACAGGTGCACTTACATACATTCAGGCATAACATTTATACACACAAAATAAAAATAAGTAAAAATTTTAAAGAATTCCAGATACCCAGATATATAGGGAGACTAGAAAGATGGGTCAGTGGGAAAAGTGCTTGCCCCACAGACATGAGGACCTAAGTTCAGATCTCAGCATCCACATAAAAAGCCAAGTATAGCTGTGCACATCTGCCCCAGCACAGTGGGTACAGGAGAATTCTGGGAGCTCACTGGCCAGAACAGCTAGCTTCATGTTCAGTAAAGGAACCCTATTTCAAAAAAATAAAATGAAAGGGGCCAAAGAAATGACTCAGGAGTTGAGAACACTAGCTGCTCTGGCAGAGGATCCAGGTTTGGCTGGCAACACCTGCATGGTGGCTAACAGCTGTCTGAAACTCCAGTTCCAGGGGATCCGATGCCCTCCATGAGCGTTGCACATAATGGTACACTTACATGCATGCAAAACACTCATAGACATAAAATAAATTAATTAAAAAATAATGTGAAGAACAATTGAGGAAGACAGCCAACATCAATCCCTTGCCTCCATAGGTGAACAAACCTGTATACATGTACACACACACACACACACACACACACACACACACACACTTTTAAGAATTCCAGATAGAAGCTGGAAAGAAAGATCAGTGGTTAAAGAATACATAATGCTCTTCCAGAGAACCTGTATTCAGTTCCTAGCATCCATACATCAGGCAACTGACAACCACAGCCACCTCTAACTCTAGCTTCAGAGGATTCAATACCCTCTTCTGGCCTCTGTGGTCAACTTCACTCAGGTGCACAGACCTCACATAGACACACATGCATACACATAATTAAAAGTAAAAAGAAATTTTAAAAAAAGAACGAGATATAAAACTCTTACTTTTTCATCAGAACTTTTTTCAAATGTGGATTTCAAAAAGTTAATCTTTGCAAACAAAAACTTCAAAAAGTCTTTATATAGGAAGTCTTTATACAGGATAATGTATTTTCTATTTAACGATAAAACCAAAGCAGGGGCTAGAGAGATGGCTCAGAGGTTAAGAGTACTTGCTGCTCTTGCAGAAGACCAGAGTTCAGTTCCCAGCACCCACCTCAGGCAGCTCACAACCACCTGTAATTCCAACTCCAGAGGATCCAATTGCCCTCTTCTGGCCTCTGAGGCACCCACACAAACAAATGTGCACATACACAAAGACACATACATATACATACACATAAATTAATAATAAAATAAATCATTTTTTAAAGTAAAAAGCATTACCAGCAGCAGGTGTCTTCAACGCTGTGCTTCCAGGCTTAAGTATCTTGGTAGGGGCCTTCAGCCCACTTGGCTTTAGCATACTCATTTTCCTGGTAGGTCAGAGTTGGTTTTCCTTTGTCTGGTGCCACTATCTATCCCCAATCATCCATACAAATGTGGGTGTTTCTATAAAGAACTTAGTCTCTGGATTAAATCTGAGAACAGAAACACATCAAAAGGCTTTAGATATTGAGAGAAAGAAAATAGGGACAGTAGTTATTTCAAATTAGATTTCAACTAGGCACAGTAGTATTACATGTCTTTAATGCAGGCACAAAAATCACAGGAAGTATTTGGAGAGGGCAGGGGAATTGGAGAACGCACTAATTTTTATGAATGTAAAGGAGCCTGGCGTGGTGGGCAGAGGCAGGCAGATCTCTGTGAGTTCAAGGCCAGCCTGGTCCATATAGTGAGTTCCAGGACAGCTGGGGCTACAGGGAGACCCTGTCTCAAAAAGACCACACAAAACAAAGAGGAAATCTAAAACATGAGTAAATAGGGCTACAGGCGTAGCTCAGTAGTATAGCCTTTGCCTAGCATGCACAAGGCATGCGCAACTCCTGTCCACACATCCACAGAAACAAAAACAGACAAAAAAAAAAACAAACATGAGAAAAGAACAAGAAGATATGATTGTTTAAAAGTCCAGGCAGATTTTTTTAAGTCACAAAGAACTTCTAAAAATGAAAAATTAAAAGCCGAGCCAGGCATGGTAGCACACACCTTTAATCCCAGCCCTTGGGAGGCAGAGGCAGGTGGATCTGTGAGATCAAGGCCAGCCTGGTCTACACAGCAAGTTCCAGGACAGCTTTGGCTACAGGGAGACCCTGTCTCAAAAAGACCAAAAAAAAAAAAAAAACCCTAAAAGCTGTAATCATTA